TCTCGAATTCCTTTGTATTTATTTAATATTAAAATGAATAAAAACAAAGTGGAAAAGAGACGGGAGATTGAATCATGTTTAGGTTGTCCCATTAATTAACAATTTAATCCCCATTAATCTTTAAGAGCCAGCAACATCAAACATGTGATTAGCGTAAGACACCAAAAAGAATGACGATGCTTCTCTCTCTCTCTCTCTCTCAGCCAGCAGCTAGCCAGCAGCTGCATGCAGGTTTTGCTTACGTGGACCCACCAAATAGACGACGAAGAAATGAAGATGATAACGACGCAAATCTGCTGAGAAGTTGAGACTTGAGATCAAAGCCGCATATTCCGTATCAAATATGGTATGTATAAGATTCGAATCTAAATCCTAAATCCTCACTTATATATAAGCAAACAAGGATATGTCATTAACTCGGAGGACTAATAAGAATTCCACGACCGAAGGGCTCTTAATGGCACGCTTTATCAATCAAATGCCTAATTGATTTCACGGGCGAGGCAACAAGTCTCAACCTCATCAATAAGAGAATGTTATATGTATCACAACCAGCTACGATCACATTCAACTCTACTATCATAAAAAAACACGACGCTTTTGAATTATCATTCATCTTCTAATTATAATTCATACATCAAATTACTTAACATGTTGATTCATTCGTCTTCTAGCACTTGACTCACACCAAATTGGTGCGACAGACCTAACATGTCAATTCATTCTTGCTTGCAGAGTCATCAAAATAATTCTCATCCCCACGCCCTCTTTTACTATATATTTTTCTTTTAGCATTTCAATTACAGAAGAGCATTTTAGACATAACCGTCTAACCTAAAATAAGAAATAATTTTAATAAAATACCTTTATGCAATGAGTCAACTTTAGATATAACTGGCTGTTTTTTTTCTTACAAAAAATCTAAATAAGGAAAATTTAAGTCGAACTTTAACCTTAAGTGTAGGAGTAAAATGCTTTCAACCATCGGAGCTGCAAGCCTACAATCCACACCCAAACCACCTGAAAAACCATTATCCTCAATTTCTTGTTTAAACTGTTGCTTGTTATTTTTATGTAAATTAATTAATAGTTATTTGATAAAAGTAAAATAAAATACAAAACGTGAAAAGAAAAGAAAAAAATTATCAAAGTGGATGAAAATGGTGACGCTAAGACTGTAGTGGTATATATTCCCTGTTCCCACTGTTTTTCTGGAAACTCCCCTCTCTCTCTCTCTCTCTCTCTCTCTCTCTTCTTTCTCTCTCTAAATTGTTGAGTCCGCTTTCGGTCGAAGAAACTCGAGCAATTGGCAATGGAGGTTCTTCTCTGAGAGGGAGCGATATCGGAGCTCTGTTTTTTCCAAATTCGGAAGCTTTGGAGGAGGAGGAGGTAGCTCTTGAATCGGTTGATTGCGAGCTGAGGAAGAAGAAAAGCTTGCAGCTTTAATGGCGGTGGAGTACGAGTGCTGCACCAGCGGATTCTTCATTCACATAGTGGTCATCGTGCTGCTGGTGCTGTTCGCGGGGCTAATGTCCGGCCTCACCTTGGGCCTCATGTCCATGAGCCTCGTCGATCTCGAGGTCCTCGCCAAGTCCGGGACGCCGAAGGATCGCAACCACGCCGGTATGGCTTTTGATTTTCATTTTGTTTTGAGTTTTTGTTATGTTTCGTTTGGAATTCTCTGCTCTGTTTGGCTGCTGGGAAAGTGCCAGAAAAGGAGGAAAGAAAATGGTGTGGGACCCTATTTGATGTTGATTTCTACTAGTTTTAGAATAATCTGGATTGGTGTTTTTGTTCGATTTCGATTCGAGGTTAAGTTGATTGTAAGGAGCTGCAAATGATTGTTTTGAATTGGATTGTTCCGCTGTGGAAGTATTTTGCCCAATTATTTTTTGGTAATTCCACTTCCACTTGTTGAAATATGAAACTTGCGTTCTCCATTTGCATGAAAAGTGGTGTTTTGAGAGGAGAAAGGGTGTGTCAGTGTTGGAATTAATGAATGAAAAGTGATTTGGTGAGAACTAGGGCCCGTTTAGGATTGTTTCTCGCAGGGGTAAAAGCGCTTTCTGACGGCCGAAAGTGCCATCCCTCATGATGATTAATACTGGGGTTCTTTTTTGTTTAATGTCTTGGGTTTTCATGACTCTGAAATTTAGTCGAAAGATAAGCATGCACCTACGGGAAAAGAACGATTTTGTGCGAGGGGTTTTAACTTTGTAAATATAAATTCCGTTGTACTAGCTTCGTTTGACATTGATGTGTACAATGCGGTTTAACTAATCATTTCGTCTCTCTATGTATTTTGTTTGTAATTGCAGCGAAGATATTACCAGTTGTCAAAAAACAGCATCTGTTGCTTTGCACCCTGCTGATTTGCAATGCTGCTGCGATGGAGGTACATGTTATTGATGTTTATTGGAAAAGATACGAATTTTGGTAAAATAATAATGAAAGGAAAGACGATATTGTAATCTCTGTTCCTTCTCTCAGGCACTCCCCATTTTTCTTGATGGTTTGGTGACAGCTTGGGGTGCAATCCTCATTTCGGTGACACTGATTCTTCTGTTTGGTGAGGTAAGTGATACATGCCATTTTGTTTGTATCGTAGGATGGCCTATAACATAGATAGTTATTTATTTATGATCTGAACTAACTGGCTCTTTGAGGCAACACTGAGAGGGCATATTCACAACCCTAGATTGATGTTCATTGGTCTGATTGAGAAAAATTACTTTGAGAACACAAAGTTACTTTTAATATCCCTGTGTTGATATACCATGTTACATTTATTTCTGAAGTCAGCGATGATATCAAACATGGCACGTGCGTGCCACTAACTTCTGTTCATCTGTGTCTGCAGATTATACCACAATCTGTTTGTTCCCGATATGGTTTGGCTATTGGTGCAACAGTGGCACCATTTGTCCGTGTTCTTGTTTGGGTCTGCTTTCCGGTTGCATATCCTATTAGCAAGGTAGATAGATTTAGCACTTACTTTTTTCTCTGCAATTTCTTATGCCACGGCATGAGTTCAACTCTTTGACTATTATGTTCTATGTGGTTTCCAGCTATTAGACTATCTGTTGGGCCATGGACATGTAGCTCTATTTCGCAGAGCTGAGTTGAAAACGCTTGTAGATATGCATGGTAATGAGGTACGTCTGACAGCTCTCTTAAATTGAATTGTCAACTGTCACATAACTTCATCATTCTTCAGTAATTCTTTCGTTGGGTTTGTTCTTCTCACTTCTGTTATTAGAGTACTTACTACCTGCCTCATAACCATATATGACTGTATTGCTCTAGGCTGGAAAAGGTGGAGAGTTGACACATGATGAAACAACCATTATTGCCGGAGCACTTGAACTCTCTGAGAAAACAGCTAGAGATGCCATGACTCCCATAGCTGAAACTTTTGCAATCGATATCAATGCCAAGCTTGACAGGTTTATTATGCTTTACACATTATAGCAGAAAAGTCAACTTTCATTGGTAGTATAACAATGTTTTGATTTGCAACCCTAAATGCTGCTTATCACACAGGAATTTGATGAATCTAATATTGGAGAAAGGGCATAGCAGAGTACCGGTTTATTATGAGGAGCCTACGAATATTATTGGACTCATCCTGGTAAATTTTTAACCATGCCCTTTTCTATACCTCCCAAGTTCCCAACTTGCTGGTTAAAACCAGTGTAAATCAGAACTTACTTGGCTTAATTATCTCTGTCAACTTTGAGTTTGAAATTCTCTGCGCATAGGCAATTTCTAGGACATGTTGAAAAGCTGTGCTATGAAACTTAAAACAGGTTACTAAATTAATTGTAATCCAAATTCATGTTGAGTTAATTAGTGCTTAAATTTTGAGCATGATAAACAAGTTAATGTATCTTGTTTTCTGCTTTCATTCCATTTGATTTATCTTGGTATTAGGTCGCTATATTTTTCTTTGTAACATACTTCTCTTAACTATTTAATTCAAAATTTAGGTAAAAAATTTGTTAACGGTGAACCCAGAAGATGAAGTGCCTGTAAAGAATGTCACTATACGCAAGATTCCAAGGTATTTTGCGTTGGTTGAGGTCATTTTTGTTGTAATATTAATTGCGGTACAAATTTATGATGATTTACATAAATGGGTGTTGTACTCTCATTTGTTTGATAGGGTTCCAGAAACGTTGCCCTTATATGACATATTGAACGAGTTCCAGAAAGGTCACAGTCACATGGCTATTGTTGTAAGAAGGTGCAATAAGAACACGGAGCAGACTAATGGCAATCCGGATGACAGTAAGTACCTGCTTCCTACTGTAGAATGCCTTGAAAAAATTTCCATTGGCAAAAATTTTCCACCTGACACCTTTAGACTCTATGATTGGACTTTATTTTTTTTTTTTTGTGAGAGACTGATTATAACCGTTCTCTGTATCTCTCTCAATAGATCCAGTGAAAGAAGTGAAAGTCGACATTGACGGTGAAAAGCCTCTTCATGAGAAGTTGAAGAGCAAAAGATCACTACAGAAGTGGAAGAGCTTTACAAATACAAACAGTGCAAATAATTCATACAGGAGTGGGTCCAGAAGCAAGAAATGGACAAAGGAGATATATTCAGACATTCTGCAGATTGATAGTGAGCCACTCCCCAAGCTCCCTGAAGAGGAAGAGGCTGTTGGCATCATAACAATGGAAGATGTTATCGAAGAACTTTTACAGGTACTAGCTCTCGCTTTAAGCACCATTTGTATTTTTTGTTGTATCCACATTTTCTCTTACGAGGCTTCATATCCTGACATCAATATTTGTTATGTAGGAGGAGATTTTCGATGAGACTGACCATCAGTTTGAGGACTCATAACACTGGCATTTCTCGGAAGCGGGTTGTCTCCGTGCCGTACATATTACAACGGAAGATTAGTTAATTTTTTTGTCATTTGTGTCTGTAAGTGCTGAGACAGGTTTGTTAGAAAACTCTACTAAAACTGTATTAAAAAGTCATATGGTTGAGAAGTTATTAGACGAACGTCAACTTTCTCCAGGCAAAGTTCTGAATATTTTGAGTTTATGATGGTCGTCTTTTGAGTGACCAGGCTTTTCAGATGCTCTGGTAGGCAACACAGGCGCATCGCTTTGTAGGGTTTACAGGGATTCGAGAAAAATATGCACCAATTCCGTACAAGCTAGAGAATTCTTCTCAGATAAAGCGCCTCTAAGTATGGTATTTATTTCTTTTTTCGTCCTTCCTCTTCTTCTCTTTAGATTTTTCCTTGCATTTGTGCTTGTTCGGGCTACCAGACTTCACCTTTTTTGATTTCTTCCTCTCATCGTCATTCTCCTCTTCGGAAGGATAACATAAGTTATGTGAAGGCCTCTCTGGTCCATACGCACGGTGTTCTTGTACACTGGGCCTCTGCAGCAGCTCTTCATTGGAGTCCGAAGAACGGGGAAGATAAGGACCCGTTTCATCCGTCCTTGACCCAACAGCACCTCTGCCACGCTTGACTCTGTCATAGCATGCAAAATCATGCTAATTAGTCATATATTCTCTCCTACACGAGGGGTGGCGAGGAGCGAGAGCGACAGAGAGAGGGTTACCTTGAATGTAAAAATTCTTCGAGTTCTTCTTCTCCTAAACCATTCTCTTGCCTTGAATGGCAGCTCTCGTATTCTCTTTTCCTTGACGAGCAAGAAGGACCGGCACTGTCATCTGCGACGGCATGTCCCTTACCACTGGGTGTTGGAGAGTCGCTATCTCCGCGACACCTGCTCTCATCCTTGTTCCCTTTCAGCCTATTGTCCAATTCCTTCTCTTTCTGCCGGAGTCGCCACATTTCATTCACTTCAACAGCTCGATTTGCTGGAGAAAACAAACAACAATAGAACTTGAGAGCTCAATGACAGCGGTCACCAAACAAATAAAACATGGGTGTGGATAGAACCTCGTACATGCTAATAAAAACAGAATTATGAAGTCACAGTAGAGAGAGAATAATGTTTGTACTGAAATTCTAATACAGCAGTATAGGAACCGACCTTGTTGCACACCACGAACAGTAGCACTGAGGAACCGTGAATTTGGTCGGAACCTTGTTTTAGGCTGTTGAAGATAAGCATGCACACCTTCCTTGTCAGCTTGACGCCGCAATTCAGCGGCTTCTCTCATAAGAATTGCAGCTATTCTGTTCTCCGTCTCTAAATCCATCTAACCCTTTTAAGCAAAGAATCTTGATCAATACAGCTTCGGAATCACAGTGAACTTTAACATAAATGTGAAAAAGAGTAGAAAGGTGAGAAGCACTAAAATTTGCTTGACTATTAGTTGTAAACTTGAGAGAGACACAAGTAAACTTTCTGAACGAGGGGAGCCATTCACGAACAAAAGGAGAAATACACACTCATGTCAACAACCTATTGCTACATAACCAAGGTACACTTTCTGAATGAGGGGCGGTTTCTGTTGCATTGGGACAGCTGACAGTGAGTATACATCATCTTTGATGGCAAACAAAATGAAACAAGACAGAGTTGATAAAAAATTGCAGGCAGACTGCTACAATTGTATCTGATATGCATTTCCAGCATTTCAACGAAAAGCAAAACCGAAGCATGCGGGGCGATAATGAAGAACCATCTATTCTCGTTACATGGAGAACATGGCATTAAAAAGTTTGTAGAATTCTTCTGGCCACTACTCTAATTGCATCACGGGAACCATATTACTAGGATAAAGACTAATTTAAAAGCTCATAACTCTACATATTCTTGACGATGTTCCAAGCAGGAAGACAATTAAAAACAAAAGTAAAATTTCAAGTTAAACGATATTCAATCTGAATTGTAAAATTTCATGTTCAACTAACAAATTGAGAGTGTAGAGCATTGATGAAAAACCATCTACTCTCCTTGAGAAAAGCCATTGAGAAAATTAAAACATCAATCTTTTGGACTTTCTGGTATCATAAACTAGTTCAAAAACTTAGTTCTGGACACCTCTCTCTGATATCATAATGACTACAAGGAAAATTGAAAGAAGCTAATTCAAACCTTCCTCAAACACAGATTTACGATAAGCAAACTGGGGACTTCCCAGGAATACGAGCTGGGATTCCCAGAGCTTAACTAAAGAATCAAGCAGGTATATAGCAATGAAAGCATATTCTGGAAATATCTACTCTAAACTGCTAGTGCAGACCAAGTCACGAACTGTAAGTTATCGCTGTAATGTAAAGTGAAGACACAGCTGAAGCAGATTACCGAATGGAAACCCTGTCGTTATGGCACTTTATTAGCTACTCAAACTTTCTTTTGGATGTCCTCAACCTGATACAACCAGTCTTGCATTAATTCAGGGAAACTGTTTATACTTGAATCTAACGGACGACATGACATAAAATCAAGCGCAGTTGTGTTCTAAGATTCATATAGCCGACCCCATTTAGCGGGGTAAGGCTTTGTTGATGTTGTTGTACTGAACCAAACTAAAAATTATGCAGAAACATTCAAACTAGAACCAAACCCACACGAGAATTCTCATCGAAACACGCAGACGAACCAGAATTACAAAACTTTCCACAAAACCAAACAGAATTAGAGACAATCCAATGTCAAATTTGAAAAATTACAGAATTCCACAACAGACTAATCAAAGTCACAAAATTAGACAGAAAATCAAGCTAAAAAAAAGGCTTTTGAAAGACATACATGAAAAAACCTCGTCTTTATGTTCTTAATCAAAGTGGTGGCCATCAGAAATTAAAGTCAATCGAAATTGCGAACTTGAATGTATGCTAACGAAACCCTAGAATCTCATTCCTACTCTTTCCAATAATTTCGTCTCAAGAATCTCAATATTCAAGCGAAATGCTCAAAGAAAATTATTTAAAAAAATAGTGTCGGCGTTTTACCCCGGTGACGGCGCTCCTCCGCCATTAGTAGCGTCTCGGTCCGCTGCTTCCGGCGGTGAAGGGAATCGAAGTCAGGTGAGAGAGAGAGGAGAGAGGAGAGTAGAGAGGAATCCTTTTCCCTAAACGCAAGAAGGAAAGCTAAGAGCAACTCCACCCTGGAGCTCTCAGGCAATCCAAATCTACTATTCAAACCACATTGTGAACAGTAACTGCTTAATGAACAGTAATTGTTTTTTCATATCCGTCGTTGCACTTGAATAACCTTAGCAATAGGCAATAAAATATTATTAATTTTTTTTTTTACAAAATAATACTAAATAAATTTATTTTTAATTTTGGATAAGATATTTTAAATCATTCTTGTTTCGTCACGTATCATTTATCCAAAACGACTATTATTGATCATAAATTTCGATAAGATTTTTATCCAATGTCATCGTGCCACATATTGTTATCTTTTCATAATCTTTGAGGATAGATTTCGATAAGATTTTAAATCGTTCTCTTTGCGCTACGTGTCATTATTTGAAAAGATAATTATTCGTACCTTTCGAAAAGATAGTTATTCGTACCTGCATCCGTAGTTGTTGAAAAAAAATTGGATTGAAACTTTGAGAGAAAGATAGGAATGTGATTGAAAGTAGTTGAGAATATATGAAATTGTGGTGTAAGGTAGATGATAATAAGAAGATATTTATAGAAAAGTAGAAACATTTTTTTTTTAAATTTTCAGATATTTTTTTTCAGATTTTTTACATTTTTAAATTTTTTTATTCAAATAATTAATCTCTGCCGTTGGATTTTAAAAAAATTGAATTCCAACACTCCAGATTGTGCCACGTGTCACAACGGTAACTTTTCTTAATTTTAAAACTATTTTTTTAAATTTATAAAGCAGATTAACATCAACCGTTGATCTCAGATTGAACGATTGATATTAAATCAGCTTTTTTTTTTATTACCGTTGGAAATCGGACGGTTCGTATTAAAGAGCCGTTGGGATCGAACGGACCGTGGGAAGCCACGTGGCTTCCCAACGATCACTGCGCGCAGGTCATTCACTCTGAAAATGTGTCGGCTGACGCGCCCCACGCATGCGTGAGGGGCATGCGCCTGACACAAAAAAAAAAAAAAAAACGACCGACGCCAGACATGGGATCAGCCTCACATCACACCCCTCGTGCTGAAGGGCTGGCAATCCCTCAGAGCAACTCCAGCGGATGCTGGTTGCTCGGGCGACAGGGGAGGAGAAAGGGCCTGAGGGCCGGTGGGAGCAGCTCCAGCGGGGAAGGGCCCGAGTGAGGGTGGGAGCCCGAGCGAGGGGGGGTGGGGAGTCGACGGGCCTGTGGCCCGAGGGCTTTGCAATATTTTATGTTTTTTTGTGTCAGAGAGAAAGAGAGAGAGAGAGAGAGATAGGGTTTTTTTATTATTTAAACAAACAAAAAAAACTATTATTTTAATTGCTTATTGCCAGGGGGAAGATTCCAAGGGTGGAGATGTAAATGAAAATTACTATTCATTAATGGTAGTTACTATTCATTTAAGGGAGTTACTGTTTAATAGCATTGAATAGTGGAGGGCTCCACGGTGGAATTGCTCTCACGGCCTGGCTCTCAGGCTCCCACCCTCACTCGGCTGCCCAACGCTGGAGCCGAACCCACCGGCCCTCGGGCCCTTTCCTCTCGCTAGTCCCCCGAGCAAGGTCCAACGGTGGACTTGCTCTAAATCTTGTATTAGGACCAAAATACCCATACGTTCTCAAACGAGACTCTTCTGATTGTTAGCGCCGGCGAGACGTAACCAGAAATATCCAACTCGAAGCTCACACTTGTCTGCGATTCTTCAAAATCCAAAAATGTCTTCTTCTTCGCTGTTGCAGACTTCGATCTCGTCCTCTTCCTCCGCTTTCTTCGCCAACCACAACTTCACATTCAATTCCAGGTATCAATTTTCCCGCTTTCGTCTCCTTTTTCCCTCCAATTTTCTCAGCCGCCAAACACATTTTATCTCTCACAGCTCACGTTGTTGTCACTGTTTTGCAGAGCTCGGAAGGTCTCGCTTCCAGCAAAACACGTTGGCATCTGCAAATGCGTCGCCACTCCGCAGGCAGAGAAGACCGGTCTCTCTCGCTCTCTCTCTCTCTCTCTCTCTCTCTCTCTCTCTCTCTCTCTCTCTCTCTCTCTGTTTCCTTTTTCTCTGAATTTATTGATTCAATTTAGTTTTTAACCTAACAAGTCTCTCTTTTTTGAATTTTTAATGTGAAGAATACAAAACCCAGGTGTCCCGGAATGCTAACATAGCCAAACTTCAAGCTGGGTATCTCTTTCCAGAGGTTTGTGATGATCTTTCACTTGCTGGGTTTACTGGGTTTGGGGTTTAGTGTTGAGTTTCCTAGCTGGGTCTCTCAAATATGGCATTGCCCTTTTCATTTGCTTGTTCAAATGTTACCGTATCGATTTACCTAATCAGCATCTCTAATATGATCCTGAATAAAATGTTGGGTTTTTACATAATCAAGAAAAGCTAGTCATTGAGTTACTCCAGTGGCTAAATGTTAATGCTTTTTGTGGTTTTTACGTATTTTTTGGCATATGCTGTACTCTATTCATATATCGATTGCTGTTTCCCAGTTGATTTGTGATTTTACATTACATTGATTGTATAGGTTGCTAGAAGAAGAGTGGCGCACTTGAAGAAGTACCCTGATGCACAAGTGATTAGCCTTGGGATTGGTGACACCACTGAGCCCATTCCAGAAGTTATAACCTCTGCAATGGCAAAGGTACCTTTTATTATTACTTGTTTATTATTGTGGTATCCCAGCCTGGTGGAAGAAAAGAAGGGAACTATAAAGTCCCAATTAACTGAATGGATCCTGAATTAACCACCTTGGCGCAGGTTTATCAATAACCCCGGCACTGTTTATAACGGTGTGGGGCGAGAAAGTTAGGGTTTGATTAACTTGTCTTTAGAAAAACTAGATAGAATGCATTCACTCTGGTGTTCTTTAATTATTGAAATTCTCCTATTGCTTTCACTGTTCCATTAATAAGAGCAAAGTTGTTTTTCGGTTGATTGTATGTATGGTTGCAACAGAAACAGCATACATGTTTGTAAATGTGTAAAATTATTCAAATGCTGATCAAGGAATGGAGCTAACAGAATATAATCATCCCGCTACTTTCAAACTACCACAACAGGACCACCACAAATAAATATTTCCTCCTTAAATGGTTGTTGATGTTAGTTTCTTTCGTGTTCCTATTTCTATGTAAAACTTTCCTGCTTACTTTTGTTTCTTTGAGGGAGATTAACTTCAACATAACCAACCTGAACGTTAATGTGAAAGTACTCAAAGAATAAACCCCGCCCCCTCTCCTTTTTTTTAGATTCTTGACTTTTTATTATTATATGATTCATTTAGCTTTTGTTCTGCTAGCCAACTAATCCAAGTTCGTTGTTAGCGTAAACTGAGCTTGTTTTGGTTGAAGCAATCAAGTAGCCAACCTTTTGATTGAGGCAAACCAAGTAATATAGTATAGTGGCTGGCAATTATTCTCAGATCACATACAGTAGATTATCTTGTTCTCATATGTTATCCTTTGAAAATATAGGCTCTTAATCCACATCAAGAAAAGTTATTTTCTGTGAAAAGTCAATATATTTATTTTTGTGGTATATTAGCCAGGCATCATGAGCATCTTTATGTCAAGAATTTATACGCATTCTAAAACATGCATTATATGTGTATTACCTTGAAAAAAAAAATGACAATGTGTAGCACGTTCATCAGTTTTTATGTCTTTCTAAATCCATGTTGTTTCTGATTTGCAGAGAGCACATGCTTTGTCTACCCTAGAGGGTTACAGTGGTTATGGACCTGAACAAGGTGAAAAGGTATTTGGCCTTCTCATTAGGTTTGCTAGTTGACGAGTTTTTAAGTTCTTCTATGCAAATATATCCTCCCATATAAATAACATATAAATATTAGTGATAATGAAGACTAAGACAAATTGTTAATCTGTTCAGCCACTAAGAGCTGCAATTGCTTCTGCATTTTATGACAACCTTGGCATAGAGGAAGATGACATCTTTGTTTCTGATGGTGCAATGTGACATATCCCGCCTTCAGGTTTCATACTTTCTATGTATCGTGATTTTTATTTTTCCTATGTACCTTGCTTTTATATTTTTCATGTGCTTATACGGGGTTTGCCTTGTTTCTACCGTGGTAGGTTGTTTTTGGGTCTAATGTCACAATAGCAGTGCAAGATCCATCTTATCCGGTAATTCTTGTTCTTATTCTTTAGTTGCCTGTTTATCTTGTCCTGTCTCATCTCTCTTGCTATTATTGTTATGTTCGGTAGGATTTTTTTCATGTTTTTAATGTACAGGATTACATTCTGTTTAAAGATTTATGGACAAAGATTGGGAAAAAGAAAGATCTATCTTCTGTTAATGTTGTGTTAAGTGTTCAAGTACTGTTTAAAAATTAGGAGAATATTCTTTTCTTATTTGCAGGCTTATGTAGACTCAAGTGTTATTATGGGCCAGACTGGACAGTATCAGAAAGATGTTGAGAAGTTCGGAAATATTGAGTACATGAGGTGTACTCCTGAGAATGGATTCTTTCCTGATTTACGCACTGTTTCTCGAACAGATATCATATTTTTCTGCTCACCAAACAACCCTACTGGTTCTGCTGCAACAAGGGAGCAACTGACACAACTGGTACAGTTTGCTAAGGATAATGGGTCAATCATAGTATACGATTCAGCATACGCCCTGTATATGTCAGATGACAAACCTCGCTCAATCTTTGAAATCCCTGGAGCCAAAGAGGTAATCTATAATTTGCATATTCTCAAGGCTCTTGATTCTTTGTTTTATTGAAATCTAGTTCATGTTAGACTCTTATATCTATGAATATGCAAAATCTAATTCATGTATTGTGTTTCTGTTTGGCCATTGCAGGTTGCACTTGAGACATCATCGTTCAGTAAGTATGCTGGATTCACAGGAGTTCGTTTGGGGTGGACTGTTGTTCCAAAGCAGTTGCTCTTTTCAGATGGATTCCTTGTTGCCAAGGACTTCAACCGCATCGTTAGTACTTGCTTTAATGGTGCATCCAATATATCACAAGCTGGTGGTCTTGCTTGCCTTTCACCAGAAGGCCTTAAGGTGTGTTC